GCCTGGGGACCTGCCAGCATCCCTGCAGGCACAACAGAGGCCAAGGGGGGGGTCTCACCTTCAGGTCCGCAGGGAATTCCTCCTTCTTCACCAGCCCAGTGGCTGCCGCAATGTTGCCAGCGCCCGAGAACGCCGCTTCGCCCAGCTGGGACGCCTGCTCCTTTGCTTTCTCAGCCACTGCAAGAGCCGGGGGTGCCCGTCAGTGCCCCCCGTGCCAGGGAGGGGCGCCCAGCCACGACGCCATACCCCACACCACCCAGGGGGGCTGTTAGGGAGTCGCTGGGCAGGATCAGGCCCTCCCTGGTGCCCTGCCCGGGCGCTGGGGAGGGGAGGGGGCCAGGATGCTGCTCTGCAGCTGGGCAGGGAGTGTGAGCAGCCGCTGCAAATCCTTCGTTGCGGGCCCTGTTATGTAAGAGGCTTTAGCCGGGTGACATCAACCCCTCAATTAGCCTCTGATCTCGTTAGCACAGCCACACTCTCGGGGCCAGAGGGGTACCGTAGCAGAGAGACAGAGGGGATCGTACCTGAGGTGACACCTTGCACCACGCCTTGGGTTTTACTCCCTGGGGGTAGAAAGAGACAGAGACGGGGTTAGAGGGGCTGGCAGCCGGGCTCGGCCACGTGCCGTGCCCAGGACCCTGGCAGGGCTCTGTGAGCCAAGGCAGCACCCTGCCCGCATCCCAGCCCAGCCACCCCGGGGCAGCCGGGGGCTGAGCCCCCACCTGGCCCCCTGCAAAGCTCCTCTGGTCCCTGCAGGAACCTGGGCTGGGGCAGCACAGGGCCAGGGCAGAGACCCCTGGGCCCAGACCCATGCCGGGACACAGCCAGGCAGGGTGAACGCTGGCCGTGCTGCTGAACAAAGCCTCCTGCGGGAGCTGGGGTCCATACCCAGAGTTGGTGCCAACACAGCATGGGAAGCCCCACAGCTCGAGTGGCCCAGGGCTGGGTGCTGCCGCTGGCCATGGTGACCCTGCCAGGCTCCATTCAGGCAGAGCGACACTGCCCACAGGCACCAGGACACCCCATGGGATGGGAGTGGGGTGTCTGCGACGGAGGGAAAGGCAGAGGCTGGGCAGCTCCTGCAGGATGGGGCCTGGGAGCATTCCTTGAGCTGCTGGACCGCTGTCCAGGGCATGCACCCCTGAGCAGGGTGAGGGTCCATGGCAGGCACCCACCACTGCCCAGGGGGAACAACTCCAGGGCCTCAGCCCTCCTGCCCTCTGGAGCGGGATGGAGCCCCAGCCCTGCGCCCTCCCTCCTCCTGCAGGCAGGGGCGGCCTCAGCTCCCTCCCCGAGCAGCCCCAGCCCCACAGCCGGGCACACAGCCACAGCCCGCCTGGGAGCTGCCTCCTCCCCGCCAGCGATGTCTTCTAGGACTTGGCCCCAAATAGAGCCGGGCCCCAGGGGGCAGCGTGGAGGGACCCCCCAGTCGCCGGCTGGGAGCAGAGGAGATGCCGGCAGAGCCGTGGCATGGGATGCGCTCCAGGACATGGCCTTTCCGAGGGGGACAAACGTATCCCCAGCCTCCCTGCTCCAAGCCGGGCACATCGCAGCACGGGGGTCACCACCCCCATCACGGTCCTTCTGCGCTCCTGGCCCAGAGCATCCTCGGCGAAAAGCCGCAGGACCCTCGGGCTTAGACCACCGGGAGCCGCAGGGGGTCCGGTCCGGGGGGTTCCATCCCCTCAGCCTGGGGACCAGCCCTGCCCCTGCCCATCCTCC